AATGCTGAATATCAAATTGATTTGAATGTTAAAGCTTGAATGTTGATTTTCGAATACTACAAATTTGATTTCGCGTTGTTTAAATAACGTTGGCACAAAATAGGCAACACCTATCGTGCACATTACCCCTTCGCCGTCGCTACGTACCCCTAAGGTATTATCTGCACATTCCGAAGTGATGACGTAGCGACGGACTTGGGTTTTCCATTAATGAATGGTTTTGTGAGACCTACCTGGACAGATCTCTTCGTTAAAATTGCTGCATTACCTATTCTAAGAAACTAATATTTATCTATACCTACAGAAATAAATACATTAAAATTGAATACAACTAGAATAAAATACAAAGTGTTGACTATCTAAAAATACGAACAAAATTAAATATTTACAAAAATAACAACCCTAACAAAATTGATTATGTATATATACAATTATTAATTGAAGCCGCAACAGAGATAAAAGACTGACAGTTTGTGTAAAGAGCATCATGCACTTATAGGACTGGCGGAGCAGCAACATAGAGAAATAAATATTAGGAAGGGAGTCAGACTAGGATGCACACTTTCACCGCTTCAATCTATATATCGAAGACGCGATCAACATCATTAAAGACAGCGCAACTGCAGGGATAGATATACAGGGGCAAAAGATTAGTATGCCTAGATTTGCAGATTATATAGCAGTATTAGCATCTAGAAAGGAGGAGTTAGAGATAGCTTTAAATGATAATGGAAGCAGTAAAATAACTTAAGCTGTGGTAAATGTGGGAATGCAAAACAATGTGAAAATGACCACAAGTGGTGCATTAATTGCACAATAATTAATAAAAAATGTAATGTGAATTTAGACACTAACCACATAGTTTATGAAGGAACTTGTATCGTCTATCTAAAGAAAGTAGAGGAATACAAAAAGAGGACTAAGTACATACGGAGACAATTACAACCAAAGACAAACAATGGGAAAATTTATGTACCTACAGAATGCACAAAGTCTGAATGCGAACTTTGATGAAATATCAAATTTGTATGTTACTAAAGAAATTGATGACACAGAAATATCCATCGACAACTATAATATGAAATATTATTCTGAAAATTCATTTCTGAATTTTTTACCCACTACACGCTACCTCAAATTAATGAGGGTTCGGGTTCGATTCCCGGCGGGTGTGTGACAACAGCAACAATTTTTCCCTCATTAATTTGAGGTAGCGTGTAGTGGGTAAAAAAATTCAGAAATAAATTTTCAGAACAATATTTCATATTAAACTAACTCACTTCTAAAAGGTGTCTAAATTGTATGTATGTTTGACAACTATAATGTTTACAGAGTAGATTCTACTAGTCGAGCTACGGGAGGAGTGCTTATTTATACCAGAAAAGACATAAAAAGTAAATTCATTGGACGGTATACGGAGAAAATGAGATTGGATTTTGGTGATTAGTGTAGTAGTTAACAAAAGTGAAATAATTCTGGGTTGTCTATGTAGATCACCTGGTGCATCAAGCGCTACATTTTGTGATTTCTTAAGTGATTGGTTACAAGACTTATTAGCAGGTGTTAAAGGTTCGCTATTTATATTAGGAGACTTTAATATAGATTATGAGGCATTGGGAACCTATACAGAGAAACTAAAAAATATAGTGCTAAATAATGGATGCAAACAATGTGTTACAGGTCGTACACACATATCACCAAGTGGTAGTAGTCTAATCGATTTAGTTATAAATAATGGCAGTACAAATATAGCAGTAAATGTGTTAGATAAACCAAATTTTAATAATCACTTGTTAATTAGTATTACATTAGATACAACCAAAGATCATAAAAGTAAGAAAAAATCTGTTCTTGATAAAATAACTGCCAGTAACTTACTTTTTGATTATAAAATAGGGAGTTTAAATATCAAGACTGAAATGTTCTGTTATGGTTTGTAAGATTATAGATAGGGTAGTGCCAAAAACAACTATAGTAATAAGTGATAGTAAGATACCACGGATGAATGAAGCAGTATTAAAGGCAATTGAGGACAGGGAGGTGCGATTTAAGAAATTGTATTTTACTAGAGAAGAAAAAGACTGGAAGCATATAAAATAATTAGAAATAAGGCATTATTATTATTAGACGAAAAGGTGGTAATGTGGCCCCTGCGATATATTGGCCCGCTTTAATATTTTAATGTTTGAACAACGCCATCTAGTATGTTTTATGCGCTACGGGATGCTCGCGGCATGATACGTATTTAGTACCTTACAAATCCACCAGAGCCTGTCATTCGAACCAGTTGAAAGTCGTTACTGGTAAAACTTTAAAGTACTGTGATTTTAATTCGGTAATTGTTTATAAATAGAGTGTTTTGGCTATTGTGTTCGGACATTGGATACGTTGAACTGTTCTTCTACGGGAATTAAAAGGTAAATACAAAATTAGACTTGTAATAATTATTTTTGGTACGTTTGTTTAAATATTCTCAATAGTTGTAATTTGGCCCCCTCACATTGGTTGTATTATGGTCCCGGGGGCCACATTCAGCAGTGGCTCTAAAAGTGACGAAGACGCAGTGAATACCGATTATGTCGAGTCGTTTACAAACGTGGTTCCTGAAAACGCGAACGTGCCGTGTATGTTCTGCGAAACCATTTATTGCAATGACAGACCTGGAGAGCCATGGGTACAGTGTCAAAGTTGCGATTTATGGGCTCATGTAGCCTGTGGAGGTTCTGAAGGTGACTATTATATTTGTGATTTTTGCCGTTAAT